ACTTCTGCACATTATCAAAAACATTACTTTTTGTGCTTATTAACATGTAGCAGAGATTTAAATAAAAATCTTAATGTTGCATAATAAACCCAGAATTATTTCACATAAAAGTAATATGGTATGAATCATGCAATGATACATGAGACCCAAATTTCTACAGTGACAATGTGTAGGTTCTACATTTTGAGAAACCCAAACTTCCAGTGGATTAGTTCTTCTCATGATTAAGAAATTCCAGAGATATAAGATATACAAACTTTTTATTTTTTTTACCATGAAGCCTTCCTACTAGAAAAACAAACTTTTTATTTGTTTTACCATGAAGCCTTCCTACTAGAAAAAATAATATTACACTTCCTAAACAAAGATGACCTGCATTTTGTAAAGAGCTCTTTGTAGAAGATGAATTTATAAGAGATTGTGAGATTTGCAGTTCTCTCACTGGTGAAGAAGACAATGATGTTCTTATGAGTTGTGAAGCTGTGTGCAGACTTGTAGGTAATTACCAACACTTTTGATAAACATACCATCTTCATCTTCAAAACACTGGGATCTACCTACAAGTTCATGTAATGTCATAACCCAGAAGAACAGCATTATTATAAAAGACATGACCATGTCCATGTGCCTATTTAATATCCTAATAACTTCATAAATCATAAGAGAAACATGGTATGCAGCCATCACTATATAGTAAAATGGTGTTTCTACAGTGCCAGTACAGTGTAACAATTTAATCGAAGCAAGGTAATTTGCTTAGAGTTTGTTACTGCCACTAGAGTTTGTATGTACTCTGTTAATAAAGACTGTGATACCACCAATAAGTTAAGTGGATTCACATCTAGTTTTCCGATTAAACATGTAACTAACTATACGCAAAATAAAGAATACCTGATTACACAAAAAATAGGCAATTACCGAACAAAAGGGATGTATATATTTAGAGCAGGAAGAGTAACGATCCATTAACATAAGTATTTCACCTGAAATAATGTGAAATTACAAAAGTGGCTAAGGACAGCATTATAGTAGACTTAGCGCAAAAGTCGATCATAATACATGAATAACTTGGAAGACTGAAGTTAGGAGAGAGCAAAAATACGTTCAAGGAAACTAAGAAATAAAGAAGTAAAGATTCGGAAGCTGCTGATGCTTTCAGTACATTAAAAGGGGTAGGACTTGCAGCTTTATATTTAAAAGATTCATGTACCGTTAAATACCCATTATTGTAATTATCCCATCTACTGAAGCTGAGATAAGAATGTAAAATGAATTACCTAAAATCAATCATATGAGGTTATGATGAAATAAGATGACAAATTTTGAAAGCCTCTTGATCTCTGTTTATCACCCATTAAGTAATATCAAATAAGCAGATACAACTAGTGTGAAAAAATTATCAAATTTCAGTAGTAACTGTGTTTCCTGAAGCACTTGAGAAGGTTATGTACAGTAGGTTAGGCCATGAAATGAATGTTAATAACATAACTGAACATATTGGGCCCGGGACACTTTGGCTTCAAGGTACATGCACTGAAAATAATACCTTCATTTTGCCACAGATGTATTTATCAGTTTCCAGTGGTTCCTAGAGTAAGCAGCTGTTATGTCCTTAATTGCCACTGACCGCTTGCTTATTGATGGTTATGAGTTGTGATTTATTTGAGGTTATGACTGAATGCTGAAGTGTTTAAGACTAGATTGTGCTTGATAGGTTTAAGAAAATTGGGTGGTAGCCTGTGGACTGGATTCATCTGGCTCAGGATAGGGAAAGGTGGTATGTTCTTGAGAACATGTTAGTGAATATTTGTCAATTTCATAAGGTGGGGAATTTCTTGACTTTCTGAGGGACTGTACTTTGTACTTCCTGTCATGTCAATTTCATTTGCATTTAACGGCTACTCAAGTGCCTCAGTCCATGGTTCAAATATTTTCTCTTAGCTGTATAGAGTGAATGTGAAAGACAGTAAAATATTCTTAATATGTAATTTAAGAAATTAACAATTTAAATGTAAACATCTTAATTGATTAAATAATTAATTAATTTGTAGTAGACATAACTGCCTAGCTGGCCATGCTTGCTGCTTCAAGGAAGTCAAAATATTTCTATTTGAGGGGCCTCTCCTAACCTCATAACTCACCAAAAAATGAAAAATACAATGGAGAAATGTTTGGATGATCGAAAGGGTTGACTGTTGCTATTTAGAGGTTACTGTCAATCTGAATCACTCCTTGATAGAGGCAACTATATAGAATCTTTGCAACTGCTATAAGATTATAATCCTCTTGTGACTGACCACTTAGAGGCAGCTACTGTTTTCAAAGGCACATCTTCGGTCTTCCAGAATAATTTCATTAAAGCCGTCCATGAAGTGATGCTAGATGGCATTTTACAACAAATATGAGAACCACTTAATAATGGATGAAACTTCTGATAATTATTTCATATTGATGTACATTCATGAAGGCAACAGGTTTATCTGCTTAAACACTTTGTTTCTTTAGTACTGACATTTTGTTTCATATATTGCAAACAGACGGTGTGAGCATAGATTACATTCATAAATTAAGAGAATTTCAGTCATGACAAAGTGCTCACACTTCAGTGACACAACTCAAAGAAATGAAGATGGTAAAATCTCACATGGGATAATCTGTAGGGGAAAAGTACAGAATACTGTTTCACAAAATTATTGAGAACGAAATTAGTCATCTGTCATCTTTCTGAAGCAGTGAAACATTTAATCTTTCAGTTTCCTAAATATGTAGATTAAATTATCCAATGGCAGTAGCTCAAGGAAATTTTTATTCAACTACATCATCTTGTTCATAATATTTCTCAGTCCTGGGAAATTCCAGGATAACACCTTAAAGTAGGCCACACCTGCTGCCTCCCACATCAATTCAGATTCATCCTGCCACATCACTGAATTCAGACATCTTTTCCTCAGAATTTTACACACCTCCACAAATTACCTGGACGTCCAGATTATTGAGTATTTAGAATTGCCGCATTTCCACACTGGTCAGTTTTGGCCTCACTATTAACTAATGCGTATTGTAATAACATCCTCCCTTTTCCCTGTACTTCAACCTTAGACACTACACAACAGCTTTTATGTTTCCCTTCTCTTTTCAGGAGACAGACACACGTAGAGAAGATATGTTTGTCGACTTAGACACAGTACCTTCAGTTAATTAGTTTGTTTCTACTGAAGAGAATGTAGTGCAGCATTCAGTTCATCTGATATATTTGTCGCCAGTTCTTGCTGTCTGTGTGTTCAATCCAACACCACACTTACGTTAAACATTGTCCATCGCCTGACACATATATACATGTGAATGTTGGTCCTACTCATTTCTTGTGTTGACTGGGTATTGTTCTGGTACTGGTGGCAGCAGTTAGGATCGTACCACGAACCTTTTGAATACCAAAATACCTTTGAATATCAAACTTGTATGCTAACTAACAGCCTATCCTATAAATCTAAGATGGGGAGTAGCATTGGTTTTTGAAACACTGTAACCTTCATCAGCCATGTGTTATGAAATAAGTTTGCTCCAACCGTCCATGTGTCAGAGTAGCGTGCCACTAAATTATTAAACACCAGAGTCAATGCTTGGCCCACAGTCGTGTAGTATGGGGGGTTCAAATCCCTTATTCCCAAATAATAAGGTCAATAGTTTCTCAGTGTGTGGATATAAGAATTTCATCTTGTAAATCAATCGCATTTGCCATGGCCGGGCCACATTACATTTTAAGTAATGTTTTGTGTAAACAAAATGTGTGTGCTTATTGAGAGACAGAAAGTGGGAGCTAGTAAGAAAGAGAACAGGTCACTGGTATTTTGTAATGAATTGCAGAGTAGTTGGGGAAAAGAAAGTATACATACAAGCATGTACTCAGGGGGCTAGAAGACATGCAAATGATGGAAAATGGTCTTCTGGAAGTTTGAGGATGTCGGGGGGGAATATGGAACACAGGAAGTGTCCTATGTGTAACAATGTAAAGGCTAGAGCCTCATACCGCAATGTGAGGAAACTGTAAGTTGGAGGGAGGTGTTAGTAGACAAAACATTCATAAGTTTTGAGCCCTAAATAAGAATTGGGAGGATAACAGCAAATCACGAATTTGACAAACTGCAAAGATCGGGTAATATTTAAGGATGTCTAAAGATAAATCAGGAAGGTCAGTAATAAAATGTGGGGGCAAATATAACATAAACTAGGGGTTAGGAAAGATGGTGGTAATAATATAATTTAAAGGAATGTAGAAAATGTCGAGATGTTAAAACTTATGTAAACATATTTAGAAGTGGACATACTACCAGAAAATTATGTCCAACATTCAAAACTCGTATCAGAAAACTAATAAATGTCAATGTCAAATAAAATTTATACTGGATGTTTTAAAAATTTAATCAAAAATCAGTAACACACGAACATTTTATATACATTAAATTTACTCAAAATGAAAAAGAATATAAATAGAAATGAAATCAAAAGTCAAAAGTGGTTTGTATTCAGACGTGTTAACATGGTAAGCAAATGTTTAAAATACACACAGAACTACTTTAATGCACGGTAGCAGTTTACATGACCATGTACGTTATTTGAGTTGTGTTGTTGTCGTGATACTTTTTTAAGAAATTAAGTTCTGCCGAAAGTTTATTTTACTTATATTTATAATGAAACATATCAGATCATAGGACCAGTGATCCTAGGCATAAAATAATTTTGAACAAGTGATAGAATAATGTGTGGCTCTTGTTTACACGTGAACTGTAAAAATAAATTACAAATCTCGGCTGACCTAACCTAAAAACGCTCGCGAGACAGTGGAATGGAGATTATAAGGCCTACAAACACTTGACAAACTAACTCCATGGTAGCAGAATCCGCAGGTTACTTTATAATTAATCCCAGTGATAATTGAGGCTGCAAGTACCTCTGAAATGTTGGTAAAGCAATACATTACACAGCAGCAGAATGCAGAATGCAGAATGCAAAAAACATGAACGCAGTTTGTGCTGTGGTAAGATCATGACTCATAGCACAAAGGTATTTACAGAGAACAATTATAAAACAGAGGTGACGGTCTCCTGGTATACAGATTCACTTTTATAAAGAGGTTAGCAGAAATTACACATTAAACATATGAGTGTGCACAATTTCTACAACTTCACTTCACTGCCTCCAATTTGTCAGAAGCAACCTCCTGGTAATAAATGTAATACTTGCATATTTATATTATGATACAGGCAACAAGAAGTTTCACACAAGATTAAAAATTTGTTTATGAATTATCTGCATACTAAATTTCATTAATTGAAAGTTCTTTGTCACTGGAATCAAATATTATATTTACCATATTAATAGAAGCACATATTTTCATTAATTATTATCTGGGAATTACATAATAAAGTTGAAATAATGTCTGTAAAGTATAAATGTATCAAAGTATATCTTTGGAAGAGAAGTTTTCTTCAAAATCTCCCACCAGGAAAAAAACATTTTGTTGTTCTAATGTCAGCTCTTTATTTTTTTGTTGAAGTTGTCCTCCATCTGTTCCAAGTTTCAGGCTTTCCAGCCAAAATTGTTTACACATTTTTCAACTCGCCAATGGGCATAGCTGTTTTATGAACCTTATACTAAATGCCTTGTGTTAAAAGCAGTTGTGATTGGTCATGTTGCTTATGCAGACTTACAGCAGCAAGTGTATGGCAGCTCGCAACATGGATGTCCCCGGCAGTATCACAACAGTGCGCCCATGTGCTCCTGCATTATCATTGGTTGAACTCTTTCAGGAAGCTGCTTCTGAGTGCCAAGGAAGGTGACACAGAGCATGTACGACTTCTCATGAGCAAAGGAGCACAATTTGTTGTTATTCAAAACAGAATGGCTTGAAGTCAAATTTAGTAGAGAGACATTATTCAAGAGTTCTCCTGATGCATGGCACATTTAAGGAACGTGTAATGCAGTTGGAACAAATTCTTGAGAGACACAGCTTTTGCTTTTCCTCACAAAGTCTACATCGTAACCACGTAGTGGACATGTTGTCAGTCTCAGTGTAGAAGAAAAAGAAAGTTTGAACTCTCCACTTATGTTACAAATTTGTGGCCATACTTTCAGAAATTGTAGGTTGAGTTTATATATGTAATAAAGTAAAATCCCCAGTTGATGTTACATGATGAGGTTCAGTTACCAAGTATCATATATTTTCCATTTGTATTGATTGGATCTTGTGAACATGGTACTGGTCATAGAGGCTCCATAATAGGAAGGGAATTTCTGTGGCTTGTGGAATCAGAATCAGGTGTGGATAATAAAAATATGTCTTTTGAAGGATATCACTTACATGCAAAAAATACTTGATTTGTTTAGAATTTTTGTGTTTATATTCAGCTAGCATCAGTTTTAAATTTGGAAGTATTTAGTGAAATATGTTTTAAAAAAGTGATGATTTTTCTATAGAAAATTTCTGAGTCTTAGTATTCTAAGCCTCCCTTCATTGAATATTTAATGTTCCTGTCTATCTAAATGTTAAATTTATTCTGTCGATTTAAATTTCAAATATGTGGTCCCCAAGAGGAAAGTGAAATGGAGAATGACAGCAACAAAGACAAATGAGGACCATTTTGAGAGCAGCGTAGATTAAGGATTAAGTAACGTAGATTAAGACCTTCTGAGGTAGTAAGTAACGGTTTTTGCTGACAGCTGGGAACGAGTCCACTTCACCTGGCAGCTCAGTATGGTCATGCCACTACAGCTGAGGTACTCCTACGAGCTGGTATATCACGTGATGCTAGAACAAAAGTTGAACGCACGCCACTCCACGTTGCAGCTCAGGGTTAACTATTTAATAGTATGCTACTAGGATCAACTGCTACCTTGTCCATACGTAAGTTATGTTTTATGCCTAATAAGGATTAAGGGGGTCCTTTGTCACTTTGGCATGACACATCCTCAGCTTGCATGCACAAAGGACATCTTTTATTAGGAAGTCGGTGGATAAAGGATGGCATCCAGTCTTTTAGAGTACCTCCCTGTGATACTAATGACGACTGTCTGGTGATCACAAGAGTTAGGGACAGATGAATAATGCATAAACTCGGATGCTGAAAGACATAATCTAAAGAAAGTAAACTGTGTGAAATTTAGAGAACAGTATCAGTTTAAAGTTGTAAATAGTTTTACATCCTTGGAATATTTGAATGGCATGTGGACGACAGCATGGTTTAGGAAAGTATTAGAAATATCAACATTTCTGCCAAACAGAATTGAGGTTATGAATTAAACGAGCAGCGTAATGTCTGGATTCATGAAAC